GTTTAGTCTGAGTTGGGGTATGGTAGAAATATATTAGTTTACCAAATTGTCTGCTCAATGTTATCTGTGGACTAAAGAATAAATTATGTACAAGTTAAAACCCTTATGACATGGAAATTATGGTTTTGTTTTCAAAACTAAACTATGTTCTTAAAGGTGTGAGAAGGAGGAAGTAGCGCAAAGATCTTATCTGTAAATTCTTTGGGAAATATTTACTGCAGTTGAGTGTATCCTGTATTTCACACATGCCTCATACTATGTGAATACTGGATCCAATCACAGCTTTAAAATATTCAGAAAAAAATCCAAAAAGCAGATGTTGATTTTGTGGTGTGCTTACTGCAAGCAGGCCAACACATTTGGAGAAGAATAAGACATCAGCAGACATTTGGAGAAGAATAAGGGAAAGTGTGTGGGGGGGGGGGGGATTTTGAGTTTTAAAGGCTAGTTTAAGTGTGTTATATTTTGTTTTTTACCTTAACCCACACTTTTTTTCATTTTTGTACTGTGAATTTTGAACTATGACCAAAGTGGGATTTTTAGCCGCTTTGAGTCCCCACGAGAAGAAAGGAGGGGTATAAATAAAGTAAACAATAATAACCGTAACAATAATTACCCTGCTTTAGCTTTTTGACAGATCTTCAGGCTCTCTCTGGTGCTCATTTTAAGTTGCTCACCATTTTATAGATGAGATGCCATTTTACTATGCCATTATATATGATGGAGCTTGCACATCCATGGATTTTGGTATGCAGGGGTGTATGTGAGAAAGAGACATGGAATCCACCCACCCCCTCAAATAGTGTACTTCAGTTATTGACCAAACTTGTACTTCACTTTGTAAGCCAGTATTGCCGTGTGAATTAAGATTTTCCCTTTGAAATTGAGGGGTTTTTTTTGCTACAACTTTAGTAATTTAAACTGCGGTCCTTTGTGAATATCTAGGAAAGAAAGAAGCATTTTATGTTCAGACTTCCAGTACACAAACGTGTTTACTGAGAAATGAGCACCGACTCTGAAAAACTTTAAGCATTTGTCATCAAAAAGTATAATTTACGGTTTAGCAGAAAAGATACTGCTAAATCTGAGTAGTTATGGAATCAGAGCTATTTAATTCCTCATCTCGGCTGCTTCAGTCACTAGCTTACATCTGTGTACATCATAGATCTTAATTATTGTATGGTAGTAAAAGAGACTTCTGCTCAGTGAGGCGAGCAGTTCTTAATTGCATTATTATTTTTACATTTGCAGTCACCACTGATACATACGGTGCTTTATAGCAAAACCAGAAGGGAACTTGCAACCTAAAAGTGGTATCAAGTGATGAATGTAAGCTAATGCACTTGCAGTATAAGTCATGGATATTGTTGGCATTGAAAGAAAACTTAGGGGGAAAATTTCAGAAAAAGAAAAGTGGGACACTTTGGTGTTGAAGAACCAGCACAACTTTTGTATATCCAGTAATATGCAGCATATGTATAAAATATGCAATAGGGCTTCGGTGGTATATATTATGTTGGTAAGACTGTTGGATTTGTAAAATCAAGTGTTTGTTTAAGGATTAAAAATACTGCTTTCAAGTTGCTTTTCAAAAAAGATTTATCTCTCATGAGATGCAGTGTTCCTGCTTCACTAGTGTATTGGACTTTGAATAAATAAACACTTTTACATAGGGAAAATGCTTTTGTGTGGAGCTGGATTACGAGGCAACTGTGTTCTTTCATTAACTCTGCACAGGCATTAAGTGTCACACACATCTGGCATTGTAAGGCATGTTGAAAAGATACAAATCAAAGCTATGTCTCACCCTTTTAAAATATTTTAGTCCTTGGTTCATTTAAGACAGGTTTGGGTTTCTAAAAGTGATGATACCATTAGTTTGTGCAGCTTCTATGCAGTTAAATGCCTAGTAGTGCCAAAATAATGAAGTCTAAATTTTCTGTCTATGGAAACAACTATAGACTTCCAGTCTTGATAAGGGGGAAGTGATGAGTGATCCTGTTTTTTTCACACTTTATTTTATTGCCCTTTTGCTATAGAGACTGAAGCAGCCTTAGAGCTTTCAGCTATTCTCTCTGACTTTATTTGTCGTCATATTTCCATTATTTATTTATTTATTTATTTCGAGGTTTTATATACCGACCCTCTCACCTTCAAAGAGGGATTCGGACCGGTTCACAACATGTGTTAACATACAAAAAATATACAATAACAACACAATGCCACTTCATTACATGGTTAAAATATCAGCACTATACATGTTAAAACATTACATTATACCCTCTTGAAAGATGCTATCAACAGATCTTGTGTGTTAGAAATGTAAATCTGTTCAGAATGGATAGCACGTGTCACTTGATACATAGCAAATATCTTTTTGAAGAGGGGGTGATTTGTGCCACAGGTCTAATAATATAAATACAGTAATTATATTTTTCTCAAGT